CCACAGCCACTGCAGTGCAGGAAGGAGAGAGATGGGGTGGAAAGGGGGTGCCCCCGCTGCATCTGAGACCTTCGTGGTCTCCCCATGGCCAGCATGGTGGAGATGGATGCCATTGGTACCTACCGTTGATCTTGGTGACCGGGGAGCGTGTGTCAACCTGCTGGATGCGCTGGACAAAGTCCTTCGGCAGCTGCTCCTGGGGTGGGAGAGGCCAGGGACGGCTATGATGGGAAGCTGCAGGTCTCTGCACCAACCCCAACCTCGTCCCCATTCCTGTGCCGGCTCAGCCTGCCCGTGTCCGTACCTGGGGTGTGAGCTCCAGGAAGGTGAGCTGCGGGGAGGCGTTGGACAGCACCACCTTGCTCCGCACCTCTGTCCCGTCCTGCAGGACCACCCCCTGCGCCCTCCCGTCCCGGCCCAGCAGCACGCGGCTCACGGGCTGCGGACAGGAGAGGCCGCTGGGGACCTCCGGAGCCCGGGCGCGGGCGAAGGCTCCCCGCATGCACACGAACCTGCTACCTTCTCGGCAAAAACATGCGCTCCACGGGCAGCTGCCGCGCTGGCGATGGCGTGGGACAGGGCGCCCATGCCGCCGTCCACGTAGCCCCAGGCGCCGCGCCGGCCCTCCAGCGCGCGGTGGGGCAGCGGCCGTTAGCCGCTGCCGGGGGTCTGCGGGCTGGCCATGGTGCCGATCACCGCGTCCGTGGCCAGGGTCGCCTTCAAGGGCTCCGATTCGAACCACTGATCCAGGACCTGGTGCAGCAGACGAGCTGGGGAAGGCTCAGCACCCCCTGCCCGGTGCATGGGGGTGGCTCTGCCCCCCACTGCCAGCGCCCACCTTGGAGATGGGGGCCGTGAGCACCTCATAGAAGCGGGGCAGCCTGCGCGCAGCCCTGGCGGGGGGCAGAGGCCGTGGTGAGAAGGGGCATCGCTGCCCTGGTGCCGCCGCCGCAGCAGAACAAGGTGTTGCAGCCCAGGGCTCCTGCAGAGCGTGTGCCCCTGTGCATGCTGTGGCCCGGGCTGCCCCGTTGCCACCGGTACCTGCGCGCAGCAGGGGCCGCAGGGCTCGCAGCGCCTTGAGCCGCTGCAGCAGGGAGCCCTGGCCCAGCGCCGCGGGGTCCACGGGGACGGCGTCCAGCAGCGGGTCGATGGCAGCCACCAAGCCTCCCATGAAGGCCTCGTATGCAGGATAAGCCTGTCAGGACACAGGGGAGCACCAGCAGAGGCAGCGATGGAGCCAGAGGGAGCACAGGGGACTGCAAGGAGCAGGGTTTTGCCAGAGCCTCGGCGAGCCCTGGGCCTGTGGCACCGGTCACCTGCAGGGCCAGCTGCCACCTTGCTGGCAGCCACCGAGATGCCGAGTCGTGCCTGGCAGTACCTGAGCATCCCGTGGGGAGAACTGAGCGATCTGCTGCTGGCTCTGCGCCATGTCATGCCCCAGCAGGAGGGAGCGCGGGCGGCTCCTGGCCTCCAGCAGCGGCGTGAAGGAGTAGGGGTCCCGCGGCAGCACCCTCAGGCCGTGCCGCTGCAAGGCACGGAGAGACGGACCCGGCCTGCAGCGTGGTGCGTGTCCCACCACGACACGCAGGGACCGGGCCTGCGCTGCCAGCGCGCCAAGAGGCCACAGGGATGGGCGCCAGGTACCTGCAGCTCCAGCTCGGTGTAAATCTGCGGGCGCAGCAGGCTGAGCAGGTAGGACGCCCGGGAAAACTTAAAACCTGGCCAATGTGGGGAGGTGAGGGGCACCCCCGGGCCACGCGGAGGGGAACGACGTGGGGCTGGGGACGGGGGGTACCTGGGACAATCTCCTCGGTGACGGCGGCGCCGCCCAGCACGTGGCGCCTCTCGAGCACGGCCGTGCGCAGCCCGGCCTGCTGCAGGTAGGCAGCCTGCGCGGAGCGGCGCGTCACGGAGCCACCGCGGGACGCGGCCCCGCGCCCGCAGGTGACGCGGTCCCCATGCCCTGCACCACGCCGGGAGAGCCCGGTGCACCCGCAGC